TGAAGGCGTTCCCTGAGCAATCTCTTTATGAACTTAATATACCGCTGACATCTCCTCAGTCTACAGCCCGACGACATGCATCAAAGCTCAAGCCGTACCAAGAATCTGACTTATACCATCAAGACGCTGCTCCTCGCATCCTTGACCGCCCCCCAGCATCCGAACCGCCTCGCATTATCCAGGTACTTGACGAGAAGACCAAACGACCCCGCCCACCTCATCCCCCGGTACGACAGGTGAAGATCCGACTTGCAGGCGCCGGGGTGAAGTCAAAATGGATCAGTTTCAATGAGGCGGAGACGTATACAGGTTGGAGGGAGGCTTGGGAGGAATTCATGGGAGAGGATGAGTTACATTTGGATAAGCTGATTGTGGAAGCAGAAAATCGGTTTGAGTTATTGGATGGCGTTGTCGAGTGAGCTGTACTAGTATGTTTCAAATATAGCCGCTTACCTTATCTTATTTTCGGCGATTTCTTATTTTAAGCCGAGCCGCGTCTCATTTTCCCCATTTTGTATGGGAAAATAAGTAAGAGAAGGGATAAGATAAGAACGACCTAAAAGTAAGAGAAGGGATAAGATAAGAACGACCTAAATAGGTCGTTCTTATCTTATTTCTTATTCTTATTTTGCTCACCTGTACAAAGTCATTTAAATCGATGGAAAAATATTCGTTTTCCGCGTCGACGCGTCCAGCTGCACACGTCTATCTTCCATCCTTTTGCTTGCTCACGTCTTTATACACCCCTGTAACCCCCCAAACTTCACAGAGCCATGGGCCCAAAAACCCCCCAGACACCCAAGACCCCCGGCAATGCCATGTTTTCGAAGGGCAAATCAGCACCCAAATCAGCACCCAAATCAGCATCCAAATCAGACTCCACCGACGGCGACAACAGCAGGTTCCAGTGGACTAGGAGCTTGCGTGGGCACGACTCCCGGTTTGCTGAGGCACACCTAGTCGATTGGATGCGCGAGCTCGAGAACTGGGAGAACTGGGGCGTCACGATGGAGGCGCAGATCAAGCAGGCGAGGGAAGAAGTGATCCCCTATCTTGAGGACGCTGGCTTTTCAACTGCTTCCTCGCTGACGCCGAAGAACGTTGTTGCACGGGTGAGCTGTGCTTCCCTTCTCTCTTCATCCACTTATCCACTCTACCCGTATGTCTGCTGACTGGGTTTTGACTTTGCAGATCAAAGCAATCAAGGCAAAGTTTTCTCAAGCCCAAGTCCTGAGCAAACCTCAGATCACTGGCGAAGGGCTGTCAGACGAGGATGTCGAGAATGGTATGACTGAGTGGAAAGGTACGTTGTTGTTGGTGGCTGGATGTGAGACAAGCAGACCGGGATCTGACAGCTGCGTCTTCACAGAGCGCGTCCTTGCAAAGTGCGAGTACTACTTCGAACTCGAGCCCACCATCTCTACGAGCACTGGCGACGTCACCAAAGGTCTACGCACCCATGATGTCGCATCGCGAAAGTCCGACGATGGGCCAGAGACCGACAACAACCTTGGGGCCGAGCGCATGTCTGTATACAAACGCAAGGCGCCGGTGGACGATGACACCGATGAGGGGGGAGACTTGCATTGGCCAGATGAAGAGGGGCGAGCGAACAAGAAGAAGGGAGGGAGGGGCAGTGGCGGCAGGCGGGAAGCTCGGGAGGCCGTGGACTTCTCAGACGCTTTGGCAACTATAAGCAAGGAGAACCGTCAGGGGCAGATGGAGCTGGCGATGTTTAGGGCGCAGGAGGAGAAGTCAGGGAAGATGGAGCTCGCAGTCTATCAAGCTGAGGTGGGACAGCGAGTGGATGATGCCAGGATGGAAAGGGAAGACAGGAGGCTGGAAATGGAGGCGACAAAGATGGCAGCTGAGGTTGAAGCAATGCAGCAGAGGTTGACGATGGAGCAGGAAGGGAAGAGTCAGGAAAGGGAGGTAGCTGCTCTGAGGTACGCAAAGGAGCTGTACGAACTATCTGTAACAGTGGGTGAGCCAATCAGCCTTCCAGAAGCCTTGGCGACGGCCAAGAAGGCTATGAAGTGTGCCAAGTAGTGTCTTCTGGGAGGCTTTGTTGAAAGAATTGAAATTTGTATATGAATCTGAATTGCATCCAAATGTGGTTGATTACTTACACTTGTTTGTGTCCCATCTAAAACGCATCGTCAAATATCCCCTCATCATATATCGTGTTTCGCCCGTACCCCTGGAGCTCCTCTATTTCTCGCACAAGCTCCATCCTTCTGACTCCATGCCCGCGCCTGTCACCCTCTGTCATGCGCGCCTCAGCCCCAGCCATCACTTGCACATGCTCCGCCGCTTCCGCTGCCGCCTCTTGATTGAAACGGGGCCTGTCTATATCACTCCAAAATTCGTCTCCCTCCTCATCCAAAAGGAAATTGTGAAGTAGAAAGCATACCCGTATCCAGAGTGCCACACGGTTGAGATGATTGTCATCGGACTGGAGCTGACACGGCAGCAGCTTCAGGCTCTGGAAGCGCACCTTACAAATACTGTCAGCTGAGTAGCTGGAGACAATTGAAGTGCACCTACCTTGATATAGCCAAAGCAGTGCTCGATGACTACCCGCTGCCTTTTTACCAGACTGTTGAACGCAGTTTGCATCTGAGATAGTGCGTTGTCAGCAAGTGCTTGGCCGCGTGTACGCTTGAAGCTGGGGATGACGTTGTCCGATGGTGTGTAGCCGCAATCCGCAATGATATATTCTCGAGGGGAAAAGAATAGAAGCGGCTCCTGGACGAGCTAGAGAGGATGGTCATCAGAATGAAGAATGCTGCAGAGGCTCAGTAGATTGACCGCTCACCTGACAGCTATTGAGAACTCGTTGATCATGAACGGCGGCTGTAAAACCCGTTCTCAAATAGAGTACCCGAGTATTGATGTCGCAGACGGCCATGACGTTGAAGCCATACTTGTTCTTGCGCCCATAGAATGTACTCTGGTCTGTCCGCGCCGGACGGTACTCCAGTTCGATGAGCGTACCATCGACATAGCCGACGCAATGCCCAAAGAGCGACTTCTCCCCCAGTGCTCTCCGAAGGCGCTCTCTTTCGGCGGTGTTTGGCCATGACAGACGATCCGATAGAACAGAGTTGATGGCCTCGATTGTGCGGAGTGTGTAGTTGAGAGACGTCCCAGCTAATCATGATTAAGCTGCCAGTTGGTGTCTCTGAAACAAACTATACTTACGACTGACACCACACTTCTCCTCAACTTCGCCATGAGACATTCCATTGCCGCGTCGGCCTAATCTGACCAGACAAACATACAGCTGGAATGCTGGGTCTTCCTGGGGATTGCGGCTTCGGTTGTAGAAGATGGGATGATCTTTGACAAGGTGATACAACTTGATGAATGAGTCTTTGGTCATTCGGGCCTGTGCCAGTCGAGATTAGCTGACGAATCATGCACGTATTGAGGGCAGCGGAACTCACATTGCGCCTGAAGTTCTTGTCCATCCTTGTTAAGATGTACTCCATTGCCCTTTCGTGCCCCAGCCGAAGCCGTCGACTGTACGTGGCCGGGCGATCAAGGTACCGAATCCCGTCCAGCTCTTGTTGGCGGGCCAACACGATCACGAGGGCATCACGCGCAAGAGCCGGTGTAAGACGTAAGATCCAACGAAAATGGGGACCCAGCCTACAAGGAGTTCTTTTCATCAGCTGTGCACATATGCTGTGCAGATGCTATGGCCAGCTCACCTGATCCCATCTATCTTGAGGAAAAATGTGCAAGACAGCATCACTTCAGCAAAGTTATTAGCGTGAGAGCCCCAGTCATCGTCGAGATTCCACGCGGCGAAGAAGAGAACAAGGGCTCGAAGTATCACGAGGATTTCGTGATGATCTTCTTTGATGCGCGC